TATTATATTATTTGTATCTTTTTTGCAGAGATGTAAAATCCGGTAATGAAAATGAGACAGAAGTCTTTCGCAGTGGCAGGAACTTAACATGCGGGACACTAAAAGAATATAATAATATAGTTATTTGTAATAATAATTTTGTTAATGTATATGTTGTTTGTATGTTTGTGTTTATTGTAGGATACTCTAAACGATATACTCATCGATGAATTGGCACAATTAGAATGCGATTGAAGACTGAGGATGAAATTTTGCAGGAATTGTCTCTACTGGATAATACAACGTAATAAGTTAAAATAATATAAATACAATTATATTAGACTGAAAAAAAACTAGCGGGCCTTAGGCAAATTGCTGGAACCTCCCGTGTACCAAAAATTATTTTTTTAAAAAGATTAACATTTTTGGAAAAAAATTTACTCTGAAAAATTAGATTTTTGAGAAACTCTAAATTGTTGACAAAAGACTTTTTGAACAATGTGCATTTTGGAATATTTTGGAAATTCTGAACTTTTTTCAAAGCAATCATACTGCTTTAACTGCACAAAGACGAAATATCGAAGCGCGTAAGCGCCGCGTCTAACGCGTAAACATTGATGCGGAACCCATAGGAATGTAAACAAAATTTATACTTATTATTAAAATCTCTATAAAATATCTGATAATTGATATGCATATGTCTAATGATCATTTTTGACCCACAAATGGCATTTTTTACACTTTTTTTATTAGATCTCCGAAATTGCTAGACCTGCCTTTCCAAAATTTGAACAGTTCTTCATCTTGTTAATACATGTAAAATGTTTTTGAATTATTCAAATCGGACGCTCCGTTCTCTTAAAAAACTGAGTTACCGTTTTCGGCACTTTTTGCCCCGTATCTTTGGAACGGCTGGACCTGCCTTCGCCAAAAATAATCAGCACGTCTCCTTATCAATACGAATCGAATGTTTTTTGAATTATTCAAATCGGACGCTCCGTTCTCTTAAAAACTGAGTTACCGTTTTCGGCACTTTTTGCCCCGTATCTTCGAAACGGCTAGACCTGCCTTCGCCAAAAACTAATCAGCACGTCTCCTTTCCAATACGAATCGAATGTTTTTTGAATTATTCAAATTGCTTCACTTGACATTTTTTGGTCACACTTTTCTGAATTTGCATTAACTACCAAAAAAATTGTTTGACCATAAATATAATATTATACGTTTTTGAAAATAATATTAAATTCTTAAGTGCATTTTTAGATTTTCAAGTTTTTTAACAAAATTTTGCAAAAAAAATAACCCTATCCAATATAATGGCATCCGTGTTCCCGAAATCGTCGACGAAAATTTGTATCCGCACACACAAACACATACATACATTTTTTCTGAGGTTTGCCAAAATGTTCAGAAACCTCTGAAACGTAAATATATATAAAAAATTTTCATTTTCAAGTTAATAAATAAAATGTAAATTTTTATTTCAGAGTTCAAGATAGAGACTTCGATGACTTTTTTGAACATTTGGAAATAGATATGTCTGATTTAGTGACGTGTCCGTGCTGCTTAAAAAATGCAATAGGAAATGATTCTGAAGGATTGATTATATGCAAATGTGGACTACGGTAATATAATATATATATATATGTAAAGCTTATTCTATTACCTTTCAAATGATACCCCACATGCCATAAAAGATACAATATAAAATTTTTGAAGTAAAACTTCTTTAGACTCTATTATTCTATTATTTATTTACTTTAGGTTACGAAAAGGAAACATAAAAGACTTAGAATCTGAAATTTGGATGAATGTCAACATGCATTCAGCAAATTGCTCCCGCACACCACAATTTATATCAATGCCAAACGATGTTGCTGATGTGCTGATTATTGGCTGCCCGGATTGCAAATTTAGCAAAGTCGTTTATTAATAATTAATAATTGTAATAATAATGTATTTATTTAAAAATGCTGTGCTGTGATTGTAAAATAATTTTGTAAATATTGCATGTTTTTATATGTATTTTATGCATGTTTTTGTAAATTTGATTTTGTAATAAAGTATTTGAAATAAAAACTAGTGGTGTATGGCAACGTGCCTTGAGGTAAATTGCTGGAACTTCCCGTACCGTAATGAAATATTTGAGAAATTTTAATAACAAATACTGTAATTTCCATTATTTTTGCTATCTTGTTTGTTATATCTGAGCAAATCAAATGTAAATCATAAATCAATTCTACTGAACATTAACAATTGTCATTTCATTTCGAATTCAATTTAAAAAAAAATATAGTTGCCTAATTTTTTGCAGAAAATCGAAAAAATGCTCCCGTATAATCACAGTCTAAACGCATTTGCAAATAATTTTGTGCGACATTTTCACTTATACTGTGCTTAGCTTGGCGACATTTTCACATTTTTCAATAGTTTTCACAAAATTGGAAAAGTGCTCTAATACATAGACAGTCTAAACGCACTTGGGTAAACATTTGTACCAGAGTGGCGCTTAGACTGTGCTTAGCCTGGGTCGTTTTTTCAATTTTTAATCCAAAATTACAAAAATATTTTTTGAAAAAAAAAAATAGAAACAAAAATGTTTATTTCAAAAGCAATTATTTTGTTAAGACAAGCAGAAAGTTCTTTGTATCATTTAAATCGGACGCTTAGTTCTATCAAAAACTGCCATTTTTTTTTAACATTTAGCTTTGTATCTCCGAAACCGCTGGGCCTACCTTTGCCAAAAACTAATAACCACTTTTCCCCGTCATTACGAACTGAATGTTTTTTGGGTCATACAAATCGATTGATCCGTTCTCTCAAAAACTCGATTTGTATTTTCTGCACTTTTTGCTCCGTATCTCCGTAACGGCTGGACCTGCCTTTGCCAAAAACTAATCAGCACATCTCCCTATTAATAGAAATCGAATGTTTTTTAAACCATTCAAATCGGTTGATCCGTGCGCCCGAGAACGTCGCCAGAAAATTTTTTATCCGCACATATTCATTTTTTCTGAAGTATGCCTTAAAATGTTCAGAAACCTTCAAAACGTCGAGAAATGCAAAAATTTTCATTTTCGATTTTCGGCCCATTACTATAACTACCCTACGGGAAGTTAAAAATACAATAAACCTTAAATTTTCACCCTTTTCTACAAAAATATACAATTATATAATTTTCAATATTTTTTTTATTAAAATCACTATTCTCTCCAACAACTTTTGTCTTCTGTACAAATACATCAAGAAGAGTCTTAGCAAAAACGTTATAAAAAATAGCCAAAAATATTTAATTTAAAAAAAAAACACATTTAAATCGATGTATTTATAATAACCATTGCAGACTGATTTTCTGTTGAAAAAAATTGTTATTTATTTTTGTCTTTAACTTTAATCGTTAAGTACCAAAATAAAATAATTGATAAAATTTAGTTGCCTTCAAATTTTGGTTTTAATCTTATCGCTAAGCATAAAACACTATTGGAGCAAAAATATACAAGGCCAAAATATACATATATAATAAAAAAATTATATATATATATATATATATATATATATATATATATATATATAAATTAACAAAGTCTAATAATCGGGCATAACATCAATAAAAAACATGAATTTCTTTCAAAAATTTATTTTAAATCCATACGTTTCGGCTATAATCCTAGCCTTCATTCAGTGGAAACTAAAAATAAAATTAAAAACTAAAACAATTGAATTGGAGTGAAAGGAAAAAAATAAAATAGTAATTAGTACTTACAATTAGTTGATCTTAGTGTTAATTTGGAAAACTTTAGTAATCCATGGTATTCGGATATGGTAATGCACTACACTATGTATAATAAACATTAACTTGAAATTACACAATATTTTCACAAAATACTAATTTAAAAAATCAAAAATAGATAGTGTGTTGAAGATATAATGGAGAAAAGACTTTTTAAAAAAATATTTTTTCCAAGAATTGTTTTAGTTTTTAATTTTATTTTTAGTTTCCACTGAATGAAGGTTGGGATTATAGCCGAAACGTATGGATTTTACATAAATTTTTGAAAGAAATTCATGTTTTTTTATTGATGTTATGCCCGATTACTAGACTTTGTTAATACATATGTCAATATCAAATTCAGAATGATATATATATATATATATATATATATATATATATATAAATATTAGGTTGTCAAATATCTCCCTTCCGCCTTTTTGTATTATAAACCAATAGCAAAAAAGCGGAAGGGAGATATTTGACAACCTAATAATAATATATATGAATAATATAAATATATATATATATATATATATATATATAATGCAATATCATGACAATTTTTTTTTCTGGTGTTGTGTGGAATTTTCAAAAAACTTTTAAATATAGATTTATATAGAGTTGATAATCAAAACAAAAGCCTTAAAATATTATAGGCCTGTAATGAGGAACAAAGAATAATCCCAAAGTTGTAAATTTTATTCAAAATACTTTTGTTTGTTGTAGAATGTTGTAATTTTGATATTTCATACTTTAATATGTCTACTTCGACAACAAATATTAAAATCAATGAGTTTTTTGAGAAATTTTCGAGATTTTTGCATTTTTGTAAACAAAGTATAGGAAAAACTTCGTAAGGTGGCGGCAAGGATGTCGTAATATTTTAAAAATACTTTTGTTTGTTGTAGAATGTTGTAATTTTGATATTTCATACTTTAATATGTCTACTTTAACAACAAATATTAAAATCAATAAGTTTTTTAAGAAATTTTCGAGATTTTCGCATTTTTGTGAACAAAGTACAGGAAAAACTTCATAAGGTGGCGGCAAGAATGTTGTAATTGTTTAAAAATACTTTTTGTTTGTTGTAGAATGTTGTAATTTTGATATTTCATACTTTAATATGTCTACTTCGACAACAAATATTAAAATCAATGAGTTTTTTAAGAAATTTTCGAAATTTTTGCTTTTTTGTAAACAAAGTACAGGAAAAACTTCGTAAGGTGGCGGCAAAGATGTCGTAATTTTTTAAAAATACTTTTGTTTGTTGTAGAATGTTGTAATTTTGATATTTCATACTTTAATATGTCTACTTCGACAACAAATATTAAAATCAATGATTTTTTAAAAGAAATTTTCGAGATTTTTGCATTTGTTATGAAAAATATACTCGCACGCCGCAAGGTGTAGTAAAACTTATCACATGCCTATAATATTTTATTTAGCTTTCCCATATCAAGGCAAAGTTTTCTAAAAATCCAACAGTTTTTTAACAACTCAAAAACTTTTCAAATAAACAAAATAAAATCAACAAAATAACAAACACGTGATACTAAATTGTTGTAAAAACTCGAACTTTTGTTGAAATTATATTAAAGTGCTATCAATATAAATATATATATATAATAAATCTATATTACATTTACATCACTCGATATTAACTTCTTTACTCACTTTACACAATTTTTTAATATTCAGCCAAACCTTTCGTCTTGTCTCTAGTCTTTATCATCATCGTGGGTGGTTTTGTAAATTAATCAATTCATTAATAATAAAAAATTTGTTGCTATCGTCTCTCAACATCAAATCAATTCGTTACCTAAAGTTCGTCCCTTAGTAAGGTGTATCTGTTCTTCGAGGGTGCCAATTTCTTGAAAGTAGAATCCGGGGGCTGCGTAGCCTTTCTTTGGGCCCCACCGGCATTTGGGGAATTGTCGGGGGCTATCTCGTTCGTGTCGGGGCCGTAGTGGAACTCCCTGAAAAAAAAAGAGAAAAAAAATTGGGTAAATACTAAAATCAACAAGTTTTCTCAGAAACTTCCAAGATATTTGCATTTGTTATGCTACAAAGTGTAGTAAAACTTGTCACATGCCTATAATATTTTATTTAGCTTTCCCACATCAACACAAAGTTTGCATTAACTAAAGAATGAATTATACAACAAATTTTGAAATTAGGACTTGTAATGCTAATTTATCTGTTTGTTATAATTTTTTCATTAGCGAAAATCTTGAAAATTTCTGGGGAAATGTCATCGCTTTTAGTATTAACTTCTCGTAGGGTAAGTTATAGCAATGGGCCGAAAATCGAAAATGAAAATTTTTGCATTTCTCGACGTTTTAAAGGTTTCTGAACATTTTTAAGAGGCATACCTCAGAAAAAATGGATGTGAGTGTTTGTCTATTGATAGGGAGATATGCTGATTAGTTTTTGGCAAAGGCAGGTCCAGCCGTTACGGAGATACGGAGCAATGAGTGTAGAAAATACAAATCGAGTTTTTGAGAGAACGGATCAGCCGATTTTAATGATCTAAATAACATTCAATTTGTAATGATTGGGAGAAGAACTCTACTGACGAGCAAATTGAAAATATTGTAAGAAAAAGGAACTCTACTGACAAGCATAATAAAAATGTTAAAAAAAATGGACTCTACTGACGAGCAAATTAAAATACAAAGAGAAAGAAGGGACTCTACTGACGAGCAAATTAAAATATTAGGACAAAAGGGACTCTACTGACGAGCAAATGAAAATATTAGGACAAAAGGGACTCTACTGACGAGCAAATAAAAACACAAGGGAAAAAAGGTACTCTACTGACGAGCAAATGAAAATATTAGGACAAAAGGACACTACTGACGAGCAAATGAAAATATTGAGAGATAAATAATAATAATCACTTTGTTCTCAAGAATGCAAAACTCCCGAAAATTTCTTAAAAAAGTCATTGATTTTAATATTTGTTGTTGAAGTAGACATATTAAAGTATGAAATATCAAAATTACAACATTCTTCGACAAACAAAAGTATTTTTAAAAAATTACAACTTTACCAGTTTATCATATTATATAAGCTTTTCTTTTACTTTCTACCACAGACAACTTCTGGAACTTTTATTAAGGGGTGATTTTTGGAAATTTATATTAAACAAAATACTTTATCAATCATTTCAAAATTTTAGGAATATATTTATACATGTTTTAAGAATGCAAAGTGAAATTTTTGAAGAAAAAAATTAAATATTTTTTAAGTTATCGTCGATCTTCAACGACGCGAAAAAAAGGCCCTTCACTGCTGCAGTGATTTCGGCCTTCTACGTCGATGAAATTTAAAAAAAAATTAAAAAAAAAAAATCTCGTTAAACTAGATAATATTGTCTGTAAAATGAACTACGATAAAGAAAAAAAATCAAAAATGGACAAAACGACGGCGTTTTTTTTTTTTAAAAGTCGAATTTTACCCAAAATTTTGGTCGTTCTTGTGCTGCCAAAATTCGATTATTGATCTGATCAAATAATCGATAGTTCATTTTATGAAGAACTATATATAGAACATGTAAAAAAAAATTTGCTAGTGACCGGATCATTTGTTTTTGAGTAATCGCTGCAGCAAATTCGAAAAATAGTGTTTTGAGGAAAACGCGTTTAAATATAAAATGATCGTTATACTATATACTGTATATATACTCTTTAAATGGCTGTAACTCAAAAACTATTTAAGATATCGACTTAAAATTTTGGTATGTTATTTTTAAAGGTATAACCTATTGAAATATGGAAAAATTGAAAATTCGGTTTTTTGAAAATTTCACCCTAGATGTGCCACTGACTTTTGGGACTTTTTATTCATAATATATTATCTTTTATCCCTTACCTGTGCAGTTTTCCATTATAGAGATCCTGCAAAAACTGCTTCAATTTGCCAGGAATGTGCATGTCTTTAAAATCAGGGAATAAGTACATGTGCCTAAAACTATCGATGCAATCAACGGCAGATCACTCGGCCCTTTGCCCAGATGGTGCAGAGGATGGGCGAATTTCTTACCATCGGCTGTCAGGAAATTCACATTTTCTAAAAGAAAAAAAAAACATAAACATCTTGAAGAGGTTTAAAATAATCTTTTACATTTTGCTTACGTTTTTCGTCAAGCAATTCTGTATGCACGATATCATTGAATTGTTTGACACTTCTAAATCGTCGGGGGAATGGAAAAGGATTAAAAATGGAAGACCCTCCTCTGTCAATTCTTCGGCGTTCTCGAATGTGATCTCTCTGACCAAAGGCACACATTTATCTTGCACCTAAGATAAATAAAAATATTATATTCTCATGAAAACTTCGATAAAGTAAGTTTTTTTTCTTACCCAAACGTGCAGCTCATCCATGTTGGACAAAGATCCCAAATAAGTTTCATCATGTTCATTTGATCTGGACACGTCTGGCCTGAATACTATTATCGGTTTACCTAAAATGAGAATTAGGTAACTCATAATTAACCATTAATTGGCTAATTTAACTACAATTTTAATGAATATTTTTGCTGAGGTGTCTAAAAAAGTTTTACTTCAAAATGTTTGTAAAGTACCCTTTGGCATGTTGGGTATCGTTTAAAAGATCTCGACGAGTAGAAAACGATTTTCACAAAAAAAATGATTATATCGTAATAAAAAAGTTATATACATAACCATATTTTATAACAAAATGTAACAGTGTGTTTTGTATGTCCGCATTTTTTCGTCCACGTTTTCGGGCGCACGGATCAACCGATTTGAATGGTTCAAAAAACATTCGATCCCTATTGATAGGGAGATGTGCTGATTAGTTTTTAGCAAAGGCAGGTCCAGCCGTTACGGAAATACGGAGCAAAGGGTGCAGAAAATACAAATCGAGTTTTTGAGAGAACGGAGTATCGGATTTGAATGATCTAAAAAACTTTCTGCTTGTATTGACAAAACAATTGCTTTTGAGGATAAAAAATTATTACATTTTTTTTTATTTTCCATAAAATATTTTTGTAATTTTGGATTAAAAATTCAAAAAATTACCCAGGCTAAACACAGTCTAAGCGCCACTCTGGTACAAATGTTTACCCGAGTGCGTTTAGACTGTTTATGTACTGGAGCAATTTTTCAATTTTCCAATTTGGTGAAAACTATTGAAAAATGTGAAAATGCCGCCAAGCCAAGCACAGTATAAATGAAAATGTCGCACAGAATTATTTACAAATGCGTTTAGACTGTGACTGTACGGGAGCACTTTTTCAATTTTGTGCAAATTTTTAGGCAACTATTTTTTTTTTGAAATTGAATTCGAAATGAAATAAGAATTGTTAATGGTTCATTTGTTTTGCTCAGATATAACAAGATAGCAAAAATAATTAACCTTACAGTATTTGTTATTAACGTTTAAAATTTCTCGAATATTTCATAACGGTACGGGAAGTTCCAGCAATTTGCCTTAAGGCACGATGCCATACACCACTAGTTTTGTTTTAACTTATATAGCGAATGCTAAAGTGAACTATGTGATTTTGCTATAAAATATACACTTTTTACGAATTAGTAGCTGAGGTGTCTGAAGAAGTTTTACTTCAAAAATTTCATATATGGCATGTGGGGTATCATTTGAAAGGTCTTTTTTAATAGAATGCGAACAATAAAATCAGTTTTCAAAATTTCTAGAGCAATCGACGTTATATTAGAATTTATCGGTCTAATCATTTTTGAAAAATGTATTTGTATCGGTGTTATGTCTCAAATAATTCAACTATTATATAAACCCATATATATACATAAATATATGAATATGATATATATATATATATATATATATATATATGTTGAAAGTATTTAAATTTGATGTTGAAATGTATGATTAAGTTCTTGGAGGGCGTAACATTAAGTAAAAAATATAAATAAAGTAAAGATTTTTTAAAACATCTTTATTTTTTCATACGTTTCGACGTAAAATTCTACGTCATCGTCAGTGGTTCTACAATTTTGAAAAAAAGCAGAAAGTAACGTAAAAAACTAATTATACATAAGCAAAAATAAAAAGAAAGATTTAACTGAAGAGACAGATTAATTATATCTAAACCTTAAATTAAAAAAGAAATTACTGACATTTGGTGCTTGTTTCCAATTATTAATTTTTTACAAGCTGTATATATAATATGTGTAAATGATAATCTAAGAAATTCAAGTAAGTAATGTTTTATGCATTTTTTAATTTAAGGTTCAGATATAATTAGTCTGTATCTTTACTTCATGTTACGCCCTCAAAAAAATTAATCATGTATATATATATATATATATATATATATATATATATACATATACACTAAATGTATTCACATGCATTTAAACCAAAATAAATAATAAATTATACATAACTCGAGAAAAAATGAAAAAATTTATAAACTATTTTATGTATTTAATATTTTTTTATCTATAGTAACTTGACTTTATCAAAGTCATTTAAAGTTTAAGTAAATGACTTTATCAATTAGTTAAATGTGTATTAGTTATCTTTTCCATTTTTCTCAAGTAATAAAATGTAAAGCAAAAAGCAATTTGCAGTTACCTTCTTCGATGACAGCGTTATCTATAAATAGAGCATGCAAGAGCCAGTCATGAAAAAGAATGTTAATTTATCATTATTATTATTATTAACCATAATATTTAATATTAACCATCATATTTAATATTTACATAATTAGACGATTGTTCAATTGATCGAAATGTAATAATATAAATATAATGAGAAAATATTCACTTGTTAATTATTACATTATTAAGGTTTGTCCTAGGAGGGTGAAAATTTAGGGCTACATCATAAAATGAAAATTACTTTTTCAAAAAAAAAAAAAAACAGGTTTTTCAGAATTTCAGAAAATTGTTAATGGAAATAAACTTTGAACAATTTATAATAAATCAGCAAGCTCGAAATTTGTGTTAGGATGGTAAAAATTTGGGGTTGCAAAAGTGTTTGTTGTAATATTCTTGTTGGTGCATCAATTGAACAATCATGTTCCAAGTTTAATATAAGTCCTAACATGCTACTTGAAATTTTGAATAATATATATATATATATATATATATATATATATATGTTAAATTTTAATAATTTTTATGTTGAGCTATGTGAGATTCAGTCTTCAGGACAATCAATTAACTAAAAACTTGTATGAACTTATATCATTTTTATCGTTTCCGTACGTTTCGACACATTGTTTGTGTCATCTTCAGTGGACTCTAGTTTAAAAGCCCAGATTAAAACTATTAATTAAAACTAATTTATAAGAAAGTGGTATGGTGTAAAAACTTACATGTAATTGTAGTGATTCTAATTATTTTATAATAATAATTGTTCGCAAATGCACAATAAAAACAATTCTTGTCACTTTAAATTGGAACAATTATATAAATTTTCATAACAAATTAGTCGACATCAGAGCAAAGAGATTTAAATTATTAGCAAAAGTTTGTTTAGAAATAAATAAACCACATAAAATTAACAAGAGAGTTATATAACACAGTCAAAATATAAAAATGCCTTCTTTCTACTCATTTTATTTAAAATTTCAATATCCAAGTGTATATAACAATTTTTACTAGATTTTAGTAAATTTTATCTAGTTTTTAGTAATGTAAATAAAATATATTATCCGAGAGAAAAATTAAAAGTTATTTGAAAAAAAGTAAAAAAAATGTCCGAAAACGAATGGAAACAAGAAAAATGTTATAAGTTCATATAAGTTTTTAATTGATGTATTGCCCTGAAGACTGAATCTCATATATATATATATATATATATATATATATATATATATATATATATGTATATATATATATATATATATATAAATATGTACAACAAAACACCAAGTTTTAATTTAATACTTACACTTTTAAAAATGCAATTATTATTACCCATTACCCAAATTTGGAAAAATCATGCCAATTCAATTACAATTTCCTTATCTATTTATATTTATATATATATATATATATATATATATTTTATATATAAATATATATATTTTATATATAAATATATATATTTTATATATAAATATATATATTAGGTTGTCAAATATCTCCCTTCCGCTTTTTTGCTCTTGGTTTATAATACAAAAAGGCGGAAGGGAGATATTTGACAACCTAATATATATATATATATATATATATATATATATATATATATATTATATATATTTGTATTAATTACCAGGAGGATGCATATTTTTGCTGACATCTCCAAACCCGACATGAAACTGACAGTCCTCCTTCAAATTGGTTGCAACACGACGGAATGTGGAATATTCTGGCATGTCCCTTCTGTCAAAATAGCCCACAATGATACGCTAGAAATAAATATTAAAATATAAAAGATTGTAAGATTCAGAGACATGGACTCTAAGAAAAAATGACAAAAATGTCTGAGGAAAGAATATAAAGCAGACAGATAAGATACCAAATAATAAAAAAAGGCCAAAAAAAGAACTCTACTGTAAAGGAAAGAAAACTGGATTGAACCTATTATTAATCTTATAATTCAAAGTTTATATAAAAGTTTTTTATTTACCTTTTTGGTATCCAATGTTTCCAAATCTTTCAATGAATGGAATTCTCTAATCGGGTCCTCCAATTGTTTTTTGACAAACTCCAAAAATGCTTCTGATGTTCTTGCACCTAAATAATAAAAAATTGATATATTTTTATATATGTATATAAATATATATATATATATATATATATATATATAAATAATATTTCTATAGTTGTCAATTATCGAAATAATTTATAGTTTATAATTACATAAATAATTATTTAAACATATACAAGTTATCTAAATTTCTTAAAATTTTTAAACTTTTCATATTGGATGATTCTGATTAAATTATTCAGAGTCCTTTAAAAGGTTCTATATAAGGGTGGTCCTTAATATGGACATTTTCGAATTTCCTTGCTCCCAAGGGCTCAAATGGTTCCAAATTGATAAAAAAACAATTCTCTGAAAGTTTTAGCTCTTAATATTGTCTTTTAGATAGAGCGCAGTTACTAGTATTAAGATAATTAATATTAGTCATCATTTTAAATCATTTTCAAAGTTATTTGAGCATGAATTATAGAGTTAGTTTAATATAGTGATCCAAATGTATCAAAGATAGAATTTTTGGTAATGTAAATTATCTATAATTGTTTTAAAGAAATCTGTCCTTTTGTAACATGTATTAACTAATACAATTTTATGCTATCATTAAAATGATAACACATAGTAAATATTAAGTACAAAAATATTAACTTAATAGCATTTATTTGCTATTTTTGTTTGCTTTAATAATTTTAAACCATAATTTAAAGATTCATAATATGAATTAAAATCACACAGTATTAATTCATAGAAATATTTTGTATTCGTCATTGTAATTAGCATTCGTATATATTAGGTTGTCAAATATCTCCCTTCCGCTTTTTTGCTCTTGGTTTATAATACAAAAAGGCGGAAGGGAGATATTTGACAACCTAATATTTCAATTGTAGTTTTAAGTGAAGTCTGCCACTCCAAATACGTTTCTTCTAAACAATGTGTTCAAATTTAAATGAATATCTAAGAAATAAATTGAACCTTGAATCAATTCTATCAAAGATTTATATGGAAATAGCATGAAAAAAATTTCAAAAATTTTGCAGAGCGTCGAATTTTGACACAAATTTTCACTTTTAATTCATTTGTCGCTAAGTTATACCTAAAACATTTTTTTTACATTTTCTAAATTTTTTACATGCTATTTTCATACAAAACTTTGATTGAATTGCGCTCTATCTAAAAGACAATATTAAGAGCTAAAGCTTTCAGAGAATTATTTTTTATCAATTTGGAAGCATTTGAGCCCTTGGGAGCAAGGAAATTTGAAAATGTCCATATTAAGGACCACCCTATTCTATATATTAGGTTGTCAAATATCTCCCTTCCGCTTTTTTGCTATTGGTTTATAATACAAAAAGGCGGAAGGGAGATATTTGACAACCTATTATTTAAAAAACTCTATTTATTGCCTTAGATTTTAAATTAACATATTGATAGTGTTGAAGGTATTATGATATGTTTTACCTCTGTATTCTCTTTTAGTCGGCTGTCCATTCCTGATGACTTTCAGCGTTGGATATTTGGAGATGTGATACCTGGAAGCAACCGAATTCTCCTTGTCACAATCGACTTTACCTAATACTACTTTTCCCTGTTCAGGAAATGCTTCATTTATCTAAAAGAAATAAAAAATACATCAAGATCATTCAAATATCAAATAATCAACTTGGTCAAACACGCTAACCTTGTTCACAAGTTGTTTGTATTAAATAATGACTTAATTAATAAATAATTATTACAGTTTATAAATGACTACAATTATTATTACCTTATCAGCAGCTTCATCAAAAATAGGCTGCAATAAATTACTAAACCTACACCATTCGGCATAAAAATTAATGAACACCAACTCATTGGAAGCTGAAATAGGAAAAAAAGATAAATTATTTGTTAATAGTTATGACAATTACTAGTACCTAATATTTATATATATATACCCATCGCCTTTTAAATTTTCCAAAAAATATCAACACATGCTAAAAACTACTTTGAGAAAGTTGTGACATTTCTATCCTAAACTCCGAAGAGTAAATACATAGTTTCGACAACTTGTCAAGTTATCATGATTATTAGTGTGTTTTACCAATTGTGATGTTTGTGTTAAAAAATACATATCTTATCAATGTGCACATACTCATACCATGGATTAATAATGGTTTCATTGCATACAAATGTTTTATTATAGGAAATACAAAATTTATTAACTTGATTACCACTGAATGATGGCTAAGATGCTAGCCGAAACGTATGGATTTTAAATAAATAAATTTTTTAAAAAAAACTCATACTATTTTTATTGATGTTACGCCCGAATATTAAACTCAAATTAAACATATATATCAACATCAAATTCAAGACTATTCAAAAATATATATATATATTTTCTCTTGTTTATCTATCTGTTAAGTATAATTGTTATTGTTATAATTATATTACTTATATCTATAGTTCTTTTTCCAATTTCTGTCATTTTTCCCAGTTTATATTAATTTCTCAATGTTCATTCTGTAGATTCACTGATGATGACATAAAATCCTATGTCGAAACGTTTGGAAAAAATTAAAGATTAACTTCTAAATCTTTGCCTTTTATTTGACGTATGCCCTTGAAGAACTTACTCATATTTCTCACCATTAAAACTAACTTCTTCAACATATATATATATATATATATATATATATATATATATATATTTATGTATTACCAATAATTTAAAAATTTGATATTTAAAGTGAAAGCCTATAACTTTCACAAATCCAAAGTACAGTTACATTCCTCGATGTAATTCTTATAACATTTTAGTATATTTGAAAAAAGGGTTTGTAGTATATTACATATTTATAGAACACGATTTTGATAATAAAAATCGTATTAAAATATTATTTAATAAAACATTGTACAAATGTTTACAGTTGTGCAGATTTTATTTATATTATAGATTATAAAAAACGATTTTTGAAATGCTCTTTAAATAAAATATAAGATAGATTTGTATAAGATATAAATGTGTAATATTATAATATATATTTATCTAGTTTAGTTTTTTGTCAATACAAATTTTGTATTGCACATGTATTTTTAAATTATAAATTTCAGATTCCGCAAATTGTTTAAAAATACGTGCGTTATAACAAAAACAAATTGAACAAATACTTGTATTGTTAATTAATGTTATTACAATTGCACAATTGCAAAGTCCGAGATTGTTTATCAACAAATAGTGTTTTATCTTAAACGTCTGGCAATTATTTGTTCAATTGTTATTTAAATGGAATTAAAATTTTTCTTGATATATATATATATATATATATATATATATATATATATATATATGTTGATAAATCAAACTTGTTAACAGGCATTCAACCAGATATAAAAAAAACGAAACTAAGATATATTTCTTTAAATAACTTTAATAGATCCATACGTTTCGAGACCCAATTTTGACTCTTTTTCAGTGAAAACACAGAAACAGTAAATACGAAATACAAGAAATTATTGCTTCACAAACAAACAATCATGTCCACAAAAAAAAAACAAATATAATAAAATCGACCATCATATCATAAAGGATGGAATAAGAATAAGAATTTTGATATGAACAATTGAGCTCTATCAATAAATCGTTATTATGTTTTATCCTCTTTTTAACATCCCGTAAGCAAATTGTGAAAACGTTTAATATAAATTATATTCATTCACTGATATTTTTGTTATTCCTAACGTTTCACTACAAATTAACTAACCTAACCTTACGCAAAGAGAGGGCAACTAAAATTATCTAGAGAGTTTTGAAAAATGAGTGTTAAAATAAAGCAGCATATTCAGAAAATTGTAGAATAAGAAGTTAATACAACACAAGTTGCACATAGACATTACTTTCTCATGAACAAAACTTATCTAAAACTCAAGACAATGAAACGATTTAGATAATCGTTATATTTACACTCACATTTTACCCTGATTATACTTAACTATCGCTTTTATATTGTTAATTTTACTCTAACAAAGAACAACAAAATTTATCTGGTGGTTTTTGAAAATTGAGTGTTAGAATAAAGAAATTATGTGCAGAAAATTGTAGAATCTATTATGACCTAGCTTTACTTTTGCATCAAAACTTATCTAGAATTTGATACAACACATCGATTAACATAACTAACATAGTTATCGATTAAATTTTATTAAGGTGCATCTATTTAGTATTAAATTTATTGTAGAGAAAAACTAACTTAACCTTAAACAAGATGTTACTCACCCAATGTCATATCTATATTCGCTTGAGTGAGGGGCGTAGCCCCTTTACCTAATATTGAACTACATCCGAATTGAATCTGAAAAACCAACAAAATAATTACAAAACAATAATACATAAGATTAACAAAATCAATACAAGAAAAACATCCGACATTGTTTGAATTGACATTTGCAACAACAAAATTTTATACCAAATAACAGTAACTAGTTTTCTATTAACTATTTTACTACTGTTATTCGTGTATTTAATTATATTATTTCGACCGGCATTAATGTCAAAAACAAATATTGAATTCGTGGCAAATTTCATTTGGTGGACACTTACGAATATAAAATATGTTAAGTAGCACTTTATACACTTTATACTGATCAGCATTTTGACGTTAATTTAAAACGCTACCGCCGTCCTGTTATGATTGATTTAACATTTAAATTGTTTTAAATTAATTTTTATTTTAACATGAATTTGTTTTATGCCGAGAGACTTTTGACAACACTTGTTAGTTGAGACAGGTGTCGAATCGTGAAGTTGGCGCTGGCGGCGGTGCTGAAAATTTGACAGTTGACGCCATATTGTCATAATGTATGGCGCGAATTTCAAAATGAGAATTGAGATAATTCGTATATTTTGGGTATTGGTTGAGATTTACTGATAATAGAAAACAGATTATATTATTAGAATTAAATACAGTAAAATGCAAAGCTAAAACTTCATTAAACTTGAAGAAAAAATGCTTATGATAATACAATTAGCTTCAAATATGCAAAACATTCTGGGTTGGAATGAGCTTTCAAATTTAAATAATAGATTTTTAATTTTATAATTTATATATATATATATATATATATAAATAAGAAATTTGTAATTGAATTGGCATGATTTTTCCAAATTTGGGTAATTGCATTTTTAAAAGTGCAAGTATTAAATTAAAATTTGGCGCTTTGTTGTATATAATATATATATATATATATATATATATATATATATGAGATTCAGTCTTCAGGACAATACATCAATTAAAAACTTGTATGAACTTATAACATTTTTATTATTTCCATACGTTTCGACACATTGTTTTGTGTCATTTCAGTGGATTCTAGTTTAAAACAATACAGATTAAAACTATTAATTAAAACTAATTTATAAGAAAGTGATATGGTGTAAAAACTTACATGTAATTGTAGTAATCCTAATTATTTCATAATAACAATTGTTTACAAATGCACAATAAAAACAATTCTTGTCACTTTAAATTGGAACACTTATATAAATTTTTATAACGAATTAGTCGACATCAGAGCAAAGAGATTTAAATTATTAGCAAAAGTTTGTTTAGAAATAAATAAACAACATAAAATTAACAAGAGAGTCAATATAACACAGTCAAAATATAAAAGTGCCTCCTTTCTACTCATTTTATTTAAAATTGCAATATCCAAGTGTATATAATA